TGGTAACTCCACCGATGGTAAAATAAGTAACTACTAACTGATGATCATTGTTAATTATTACATATTTTTTTTTTTCAAATTTGTGTAAAAAAAAAAATGAAATAGTACCTTAATATTATAGTATGTATAAATAAGAAATCTGTACATAAATCATTATTAACCTATTATCTATTGTAACTTATTATTATTTCTGCTTACTATTGTTTTATTGTTATTGCGTATTTAATAAATTTATATCATACCTATACTGTAATACTAATTTTTTAATCACAAATGTAAAAGGGTAAATCCTGAATATCTAAATAAAAATAAAACTGTACTGGTGGAATTTACATGAAAAAGGTCTAAAAAGGTCGCAATTGGTGGAATTTACAAGCGCCCGTAAAAATAGGTAGATTATCTATTTATTTTAACAATAAATTGCTATTTTACAAAATAGTAAATAGGTATTTAAAATAATTTATATATCTTAATATTCTTAATTTAATTAATATAGACATAGTTTGAAGTTCAAATTATGACAAAATCTATCATAATCTGCAAATTATTTGTGGTAGTTGAAAATGATAAAATATTCAATTTTTTATTAGTACGGCTTGATAATTTTATTCAATAAGTTGTTTATAAGTTATTGTTATTGAAACTCAAACATTTATAATATAATATTATCATTTATCACAACTATGTTTATAAAAATTTTTAATTAAACAAAGAATAACGTTATTAGTTACTGTAGTTGCTTGACATTTTTAACGCAATTTATTATTTTTTATACATACAATGACATTTTAAAATGCTCTGTTTTTCTGATAATGAAAAGATAACTTGAATAGAAAATAGCATTATCTAAATACATATCAATATATCATACTTATTAAAGTGATATAAGCTGTCAGCCTCAGAATTATTTTTTATTTAGGTACATTGATTTATCATTTGTCAAATATACTATTATTTTTTTTTTTAATCAGTAATAAGTATATCTTTCATGTACTAAAATTATCAAATTAGGTGAATTTATATTTTAATTAAAACTGTTTTTTTGTTTATAACAGTCTTTATTAATATAAAGTTATGTTTGTGTGTATCTGAGCGATTCACAACAAAGTCTATTGCACTGATGGTTATAAAATTTAGTATATCCTCGATAAGTTTTTCAACATTTTTAAAAAAAATTCTACAGAAAGTCGAATTATTTTTTTATGAGTACTTAAATTCAAATTTTTATAAATTTTTTTGTAATCGAGTTTTCACTCAATCAAAAAATTTAAATAATCAAATATTTAATACAAGGTTCTAAATAAGTTGTTCATATTTTAATCACAAAATATTAATAATATATAGGCGCGATTTTTTTACATGTATTTGATAAAAATTTCCATTACAATAACATCAAAATAAATAAAGTAAGTGATATGTAAACTGACAAACTCAAAATCGTCTTAAATGATAATTGAGTTCAAACTAAGCACATCCATTAACAGTGACCCATTAATCATTAGACATCTACTGATCAACAGAACGGTACCCACTTACCTAAACAACTTTTTTTAATATACCTAATACCCTTAATTTAATATTGCAATTAATGATAAAAAATGTATAAATAATTTTGAATAATTATAATAATTAAAAATAATGATTTTTTTTTCTTCCTTCCATTTAATATGTGTCGTGAATAATTTCGTTGGTTTTAAATTTTTAATACTTCTTGATCTATACAATTCTTATTACTTCTTAATCATTTAACAATCACGTAATATTATAGTTACATTAATGTAAGTAGATATAACACCAGATTCTGGGATACCGTATATAATATTAGAAAAGGTTATTTTATTGTTATTATCGTTATTATAGTATATATTGAAATAAATTTACTCGATTTGTGTGTTATCTCTCGGGTGGTCTTTTCTCTTCGATTATGCTCTCTACTTTTGTGCTGCGCATTTAGTTTTATATATTGTATCTTAAACTTCACGTGAATAACATAATAACACACCTACATTTTTATTCTTTTCTCCAGATCTTCGAGTACCTACAGCACAATTGACACATATATTATATAGGTAGTAAATTAATGTTGGCTGAAACCATTCTTTGCAAATATTTTATAAAGTATATAATACCTATACTGGTTCTTACCCGCCCAGCATGCATCCGAATGAAATGTTATAAAATGTATGTATTGTTGTGTCCCGAACTTGCGCAATAGGAAGAAGCGCAAACATTCGAACACTCGTATAGCGTAAAAAATGTACCTTAATTTTTAGATATTGCCTATATTTATACCATAAACATTTACGCACTGTTATACGGCTAAGTGGTATTAACAAAAATTAATAACAATAATATTATATATTATATGGTATACATATTAAATAGATATACATATATTTATTAAATTTAATAAATTGCTTTATCAAAATAAGGCGCCCTAATAAACTCGTACCTATCAGTTATTTGTATTTGTTTAATATAATATGTAGAAAATAATGTATAATAAATTATATTTCGATGAAATGTTCAATTTTGTATATATTTTATAAATAATAATATATAATATTTACAACGTTTGAGGGAAGAGAGGGGTGTAAGATTAATAGATATATGGTTTTTTTTTTTTTTTAGTAGAAATTATTGAACAGATCGAAATGTTCTATATTATAATAAAGGTTGGTCGTTTTTTTTAATTTTTTTTACAAATCGTAGGATATTACAATTTTTCTTTTCTTTTTTTTACGAACACTCGCCACTTTTTTTAATGCTTTACAGTTTCCAAATTCTACATATTTTTGATTTGTTCGATTTATGCGTTGTGTGGTCTCTCAGGTGGTCTTTTCTCTACTCTTGTGCTGTGAATTTAGTTTTATATACGTCTTGAATTCCACACGAGTGACATGATCATTTATCATTTTGTGGGTTGGTATTGGTAACACACAGATATTTTGTTTCTTTTCTTCAGATCTTCGATTGCCGCACAATTGACATGTATTATAATAGTGGATTTATATCCAGTATTATACCTAACTGGGTAGTTTTTACCCACTCAACACTCGGCATGCATTCGGATACAGTATTAGAATTATAAAACGTTTTATTGTTGTGTCCTGAACGTACGCAGCAGGAAGATGCGCAAACATTCGGACACTTGTATAGCGTATGTAAGATATTATTGGTGCTATTCTATTAAATATATTTGGAATGATGTTTTTTTTCTATATATACATTTTATTTTGCAGGAGATATCTTTATATATATATATATATATATATATATATATATATATATATAATATTACATATAATGAAATAAATAAGTCATTCAGATATAAGTACCATCCGATGTACTACCTACTAAATCGCCTAGTACAATTTATTATAAAAATACCCACATACAAACAAATGATTAAATAATTTCTTCAAATGCCAAAAATTACATTAAAAAAAAATTCACTTTCTCCCCAAAATTCCACGAAACTACAAAACTGGTATAGCATGATATATGTAATGACAAATGAATAAAAACTTTATAATTCTAATTTTTGTCGTAATAAACAATCTTAATCAATCAAACAAGTTACGTAAAGATACAATATGTAAACATAATATGACTACCTTTCTATGTGAAAACAATGCAAAAATTAAGCTAGGGGAGTAAAGTATTGCATTAAATGTAAGAAACAAAACTTTTTTTACTTAACCACAAGTGAATATCATAATATCAATACTATTATAACATAATAAAAATAATATTTTTACTTAGTTCGGTTTTAATTGTGTTTGTAGATGAGTGGATAGCTTTATAACATTTTTTATCATCAATAAAATATTTTTAACGTCACTTACTAGAAGCATACAAAAACCTTCTCATTGTTTCTTCAAATATTTAAAACATGTTTTCCGAAATTTGTATAATTCAATTTAATACCTTAATACATATAAATTGAATCAAAATTTGTTTGCATTTTTTATTTATATTATTGAATTATTAAATCAATGTAGGTGTATTTCTAATATTTTATAATATAATCATTTTTAAATATGTGATTTTAATAGATATTAATTTATAACCAATAAACTTGTTAAATTTTAAACCACTGTTATTTATCTACATGTTTTTTAAGAGTTAAAATGAAAAATATTAAATTCCTAGCTATATAATTCGTTTTTATTTACGTGAGTATTATTCCATAATATATATGTATAGTATAAGCAGGTTCATTCTAAATGTTGATTCTGAACGTGTTACTTTAAATCTTAATGTTAATACTCATCCAGTTTTAAAATAAATTAGTATCATTTATTTTCAAAAATAGTTAATTCGATTAGAATTTAAGTATACCTTGATATATTTATATAGTTTACCATTTTATTACGTATGCATGATTTTATAACTTTCATGAAATAATTAATCTTTGGTTTAATTACAAGAATGATCATGTCCTCGAGCTCGTACACTTACCGATTGTCTTGATTATACAAAATATATTTTTAAATAAAAATATTATTGTGATAAGAACATAATAAACTTATGACTATTTGTGCAATGAACTAATAACTATTATATCAATATTTATTTTAATTTTATTTATTATGATTCAATAAAAAATTTCATCAAAAAAATACATACAAAGAACAGGTTTAATATCGATTTTGTTGATTAATTACAAGTATGTTAAAAGGTATAATATTTTTTTAATGAAATATTGCAAGTTAAATAATTTAAAAAATTGCTTATCATTTATACACGCTTAAGAAAAAGTTTAATAATTAATAATTTCGTTCGCAGCCGATCGGTGAGAACGGTGTAAATGGGTAAAAACACATTATATTAGCGACGTTATACAAAATAATTACATGTTTTGTATATACATTTAGAATAATTAATGGTATTAGATTATAAATCATGATAATAATATATTCATAAAAAATTATAATATTAATAAGAAAAAAAAAATCCATGATATAAATCGATTGATGGAACATTAAATTACATTATTAGTAGCGTTTGCCCTCGTTAGTTATATGATACGGTAAAAAGTAGACGAAGCCATTTTTATTGCGTGGATATCCTGGTTCACTGAGTTTTTTGCGGAATCCAACTTGTACAACACCGGCTTTTTCATTCATAGGCCCAATGTATGGTAACAGCCCTTTGTCAGGTAATCTGGCACAGCAAGTTAAGCTTTCACTGGCGCATGGTTTGTGTGCGTATGGCTCAACATTATACATCTTGCATATTTCTTTGTACATGCAAACACCCTGTGCCCCATTTGACATGACGCATTTTTCAGCTATAAATAAATATCGCACATTAATATTGACATTGTATACAATTTTGTAAATAATTTCAATTGGCCCGTAGAATTACCAATACATTATCGATTCGTTTTCAATCTTGGGTGTTTAACACCTTAGATATTAAATTATAATTGGAGCGATGAATGTATTGGTTTTAAAATGATATTTGATTTTTTTTTTTTTTTTGTATTTGATTTGTTAATAAAAAAAATTATCGCTGTATTAACATTTTGGATAAAACTCAATAAGGTACCTCATAAATTTATATGCCAATAAAAAATTATCTAATATTTATTCACAATATAAATTTTTATGCGTTTTCAAAATTGAAAACAAATAGAATATCGATAAAATAAAAGTTTTTAATTATTAAAATTACTTTCAAGTTAGAAATTCACAAAAAATTTAATAAGAAATTATTTTTAAGTTTGTAAACATTTACTAAATACATTTTACGGGAAAGTCAAATTAATTATTTTTAGTAATAATAGTTAAGTATTTTAAGTTAAAATTTTGACAAAAGTTGTCAAATTTAACAAATTTTGTAAATCGTCCATCAGTAGAAAATTTATAAAATGTGTAATTTTTATAATTAATACTTGAATATTTAATACAAAATAATTTTTATGAAAACTATTGAAAATATAAATTATATTTAAGTACAGTTTTTTTATAAAAGTTCAACATTGAATTTGGAAAAAATTCTATATTTAAATTTTAAACTATGAATTATTATTCTATTGTAATTAACTTTAACATAATACAACTTACCGCATAAATCTTCACACATTTCTCTGGCCTCAGGTAGTTCAAAATTTTCGGTGCAAGTGTGCCATCCATTCGGCGTGAACAAAGGTCGGCACGCTCTCATCTCCGTATGGTAGTACCAGCCGGTAAATTTCCAACCATCGATATACTCCTCTGAAGCATTGCAATTTTCAGTGACCGGTCTACGACATCTGTGATCTTAAAAAAAAAAAAAATTTGAAATCAATCATACGGTTCTGTAACGCGTTTTAGAACGTTAAAGTTAAACGATTATAATAATATAAACATTTTAAACTCGTATGTGAAATTTTAAACATCGTTGTCACTATAAATCCATTCAACGTTATAAAATACTCGTATTTCAGGTAGAAATTAAACCTTATCGTCAGAAAACAACACAACGGTATAGTTCTAAATATTTATAAAAATTATTAACAATAATTGTACTAATTACACACAATTCGTCATTTGCCTTCCCTGTATATAAATTATTATGCATAAAACATTATTCTAAACGTGTACTCCACAATATAGAATTACTAACCGTGTATTCGCTCGATTAAAAAAAAAATAAAATAAAATTTTATATTTAATTGATTTCCTTGTATGCGTAATATAGAAGTAGAATATTCATTTAGTCTTAATATAAAGCGTATAAATAACAATTAATATAATATAATACCTTTGCTTTGACCGCCAACGATTAGCAGTACGACGATGAATATCATCAGCCCAATACCTCGGATGTACGATTTTGTGGCGGACATTGTTTGATTTTCGCTTCGGCGGAGAAAAGAATATGGTGTTAACGGTGTATTACGGGTAGTGCGAGTGACGCTGGAAGATTACTCGGTGACTGGCCGTTACCATTCAAACTGTGACCACTGTTAAAACGACCTATTGTTTAGTGGGAGGGATGTACATTGATGTGTATACATTTTTGCTGGCCTTTACTAGAGTGCGTGCGTGTTTGTAGTGTCCAAGAAGATCTACCGATATATTATCAATTTTGTCAATACTACAGATAATTTGAGAACAATTATTTATTGAACCCACGATCAACATGCACTGCGCGACCTATAGGGCCGGCCCAGAACCGGTTATTTCATATAACTAATTCGAAGGTTATTTTTTTATTTATTTATAAAATATGACTTAAAAATGTATTAATTATATTCTTTATTCCTTATTGGAAGAAAATGGGTCGTGGTAAAAAATGATTCATGGTAATAGGATGATAATAGATACGGATAATTTTTTTTTGATTATAATGATTATCATATCAACTCAATATTGTGGAACAAAAATTTTGCCACTGAACACGGTAGTGTGTCGGAGCCACATATAAATTCCACCGATTTATTTTTTTTTACCTAAAAAAAAAAATGTAAACGCCACCTATATAATTTTTTTACCAGAGAAAAAAAATGTATATTCCACCGGTACATTTTTATATTTTTTTTTTTTTAGATATTCAGGATTTACCCTTTTACATTTGTGATAAATTAATAAGTATTACAGTATAGGTATGATGTAAAATTATTTACTACACGATAACAATTAAACAATAGTAAGCAATAATAATAATAAGTTACAATAGATAATAAGTACATAATTTATGTACAGTTTTCTTATTTATACATAATATAATATTAAGATACTTGTATCATTTTTTTTTACACAAATTTGAAAAAAATATGTAATAATCAATAATGATCACTAGTTCATAGCTACTTATTTTACCACCGGTGGAGTTAATATATGTTATTAGATAAAAAATACGTACCTATGGAATTTACATGTTTTAAATTCAACCCGAAAATCGACTAGGTACCTATAAATCGGTAGAATTTACATGCAGTCACCCTGTGTCGGACATACGCTCAATTGCATACTTCCTAACCGGACTTAGTTGTTGGGACTTCGTATTGTAGGCAGGGGAGGGGGTGATTAATTTTTTTTATGAATGGTACAAATGCTCCACAATATTTTTTTATTATATGTGCCGCTATGCTCTTGTATTAAAAAAAATAAAAACAATTGTGCCTAATTAATAATAATACATTTATTAAACGACTGTAATTTAAATAATAAATCAATTTTCAATAATATAATTATATTAAAATAAAAAATATGTCTATAGTATAAATATGTTACGGTCTTTAAGGGGGAGTCAATCGCCCCATCCCCCCTTAAATACGTTCCTGAGTTATTGTCGCATATGTTATGAATATATGGTATAGAATAGTAGTAATTTTTGCTTAAATACTTTCTGTGCTTTTTACGAGTCTGCTGAAACTCTAAAACATATTTTAATGGCCCATTAACGAAGATATCGTACGAAAATACATTATTCGATGTATGGCGATGGAACGAATAGATCAAGTAGTCACAGATTTAAATAAACATTTTTTTTTTTTGTCTATTTTAAGCTCAGCAACTAAGGCCATTAGCTGTAAATAGAAACAGTTTTTTTTTTTTTTTTTGTAGGGACATTTGTTTTGTAGGTTGGAATACGTGTGTGTATGTGTGTGCGCCATGGATTTGTCGCCAATAACCCGGATGGTCACCCATCCGAGAGCTAGTGACGCCAACCGATGCTTGACTCAGAACATAGTGACTGAGACCACCATGGTACACCAGATTACAAATAAAAATGTATACGTTAAAAAAATGGTCGATCATTGAAAACATTTCTGCAGTCATACGATCTTAATAAATTATATTATATAACAAAATAGACACTATTTTTATAGCAATAAATTTTACTAGGTAATTTAATTTTGATTATATCGGTTATTGTTTAATAACGAAAACATGAATCAGTTACAACGTTAAATCTAAGTTAAAAAATTATTTTTTTTCAACTATTATATTATTAACTAGTTAAACTAATAGTTATTTAATACATAATAACTAACTAATAATTACTGAAATGTATAATTAAAAAAAACCCCATAGTAATCATTTAACTCTTTCCGGTTAATTTTAAAAATCATACTTTCATGTAATAATTTTATAATAAATAATCCACGTATATTTTTTTTATAAATAATTTTGATTACGCTATTAATATATTGACCGTGGATAAAAGTATTATAATATCAATATGCTATATGCTTTTATATAGTACCTAATAGTTTCATCATGGTATCGTCAACAACGATAAACTGTTTATTGAGGAAAAAACAATGTTTCACTTTAAATAGTTAAAAACAAGACACTAATAATTAAATATATCAACCAGAGTACTTAATGTATCAATATTAATTGTTATGTATTTAAATAATAGAAAATAGTATTACTTGATATTAATTTTGGTTCGATCGGCAATTGTTTAATAGTGTTAATAATATATATTTTTTTTTACCATGATCTTTATGATATTTAACTATGGTTCAACAAGATATTTAATTATCAAAAATAATATTGTGGTTATTCATTTCAAAATGTACCGTTTACAAAATGTTAGAAATTGACTTATATACATCAATATACCTTATGATTTGTCGTATATTTTGAGCATATAGAACACATTTTAAAGAAAAAAAATATTATATGTATACTTTTACCCAAAAAAGAGTGTAATGAAGATTTAGTTATTAATGTTGTTTATGCGCTTTAAAAGCGCATTTTTTAAAAACAGTCAAACTTAAAAAATCCTAGAGTTTACTTTTATAACTAGGAAAAACAATCAAAAAAGTAAGAAAAATGTGAATTTTTACACATTTCCAAAGTTTTTATCAAATGTTTATGTTATCAATCCTCGTTGTACGTAATAACATTTTTAGTTTATATTTTTTTTCTATGAAGATTGATTCAAAAACGATAATATTTCAAATTGTATGTGTTTTTTTATTTTTATTCGTGTGCGTCGTAATGATCGGTATATACTATATACGACAGTGTTTGATGTCCCGGGTGTCCAATAAATCATTAACAGTTATCCCGGCTTGAAAAAATATTACATAATCTGTAATAGGTAATTTAATTTTAAGAACATATTTAATTATTTCCTCGTAAATTCCGTTTCTTTGCAATTGGCAATCAAATAATTCCATAGGTATAGATATCTTTCTTATTCAATATTCCATATAAAATAATAAAATTCAATTAAATAATGATATAAAAATTTCTATATAAATGTTATAATATAATAATATATTTATTATAAATTGTACCAAATTAAAATTTTTAAAGATTTTCGCTTAGATAAATCATATAATTAAATTGTGATTATTTTCAAAATAAATATTTCTACATTATGACCTTTTGGCTTTTATATTTAAGTTAGAATATTGTAACTTGTAAATTAATCTTTATCATATATTTTACAATAAAGCAAATATTAATAAAAAATAAATAATAACTTTCAATATAATGTAGATTTGTAATATAAGGACCACTTGTTGTAATGGTTACAGTGATCTACCCAAGAACGACGAATTTAAAAAATCGATATAATATACTGAACAGTAGTGGTTATACTTTATTCACCGCCATTTTATATGCTTAAATTTATTTTATAATTTGAAAATATAAATATGGTACGTATTGTCCGCCTATTCGAAACAAATAATATATCTATTCTGTTTAACCGATATCAGATTATTAATTACCTATATTGGCCATATTAAAGCATGTATTTTTACGTAATATGCAGTATAATAATGTATGTCATTAAGATTTTTTTGAATAATAATATGTTAGTTTTATTACCGTGTATTCAAGTTATATTTTAAACACTGCGTTTTTACGGTATATTGTTATAAGTACATTTTTATTTTCATGTGGTTTATTTTATTGTCTTGTCATATTTTATTGAATTATGATTTCAAATTAAAGTTTAACGTAATATTATAATGTCAATGTATCGTTAATAACTAAATCATATTTACAAAAATCAAAATTTAATAATAAATTATTTTTACTATTATGTACATATCTAATAAATTATATTTTTTATAATATTAATAAGAAGTGGTAAAGAGTGCTAACGTATGGAATTATTAAATGTACATACAGTTTATAAGTATTCATAAATCGTGGTGTAATGTTGAAAAACCGTAGGTAGTACTTATATATCTAAACGTTTTCTTTAGTCAACGTAATCTTCATGTGAGCATAAAAGGCCGAAACAAATTTACTGAAACGCTGGAATGGCGGCCGCCTGGGGTACTTATACCGAGCGTACATTATTCTGTTTAAGATCTAAAGGTAAATCGTCTTTTGATCAAAATACAATCACATTTTTTGGTCCATTCTTTGGGATATTCACTCGAATATCCGACGCCAAGTGCGAATTTATTGAAAGATTATTGTGCTCCGTTAAGAACAACAATTCATAGTCTATAAAATAACACGAGGTCAGACAGTCTTTTTAATTTTTATAAAATGTTTCTCGGGTGGTCTTTTCTCTTCGGTCATGCTCTCCACTTTTGTGCTGCGCATTTAGTTTTATATATGTCTTAAACTTCACGTGAATAACATAATAATTAATCATTATATGAATAACACAGTTACGTTTTTATTCTTTTCACCAGATTTTCGAGTATCTACAGCACAATTGATACATATATTATACAGTACATTTATGTTGGCTGAAACCATTATTTACAAAAATTCTGTCAAGTATTTAATACCTTCTAGTTCTTACCCACCCAGCATGCATCCGAATGAAATGCTATAAAATGTATGTATTGTTGTGTCCCGTACGTGAGCAGAAGAAAGAAACGCAAACATTCGGACACTCGTATATAGTGTATGAATAGATATTATTGTTATTATTGTATTCAACATAATATATGGATAACCGATGTTATTTTGTATTTATTTACAGTTTATATACTACAAGAGATTTCCATGTAAATATTTTCTAAAATAGGGGTTGTTAGTTTTATATATGTTTTGAATCCCACACAAATAACATCACGATTTATCTAATATTAAGGTAAGGTACTAACCTTACGACAAAACCTCTCTTAACAGTCACCTCCCAATAGCAAACGCATTTTTGGGAACGCAGACATTTTCACTACTTTATAACGGGACTCCGAAAGCGGACACTCTTAATAGCACACACCTATTTTTTTTTTTTTTTTTATATATTATTATAAATAATGACAAAACGGTGACAGTAAAAGCTATTCGCATTAGGTTATCTATAATAATTATTTTACGGTAAATAATCAAATAAAGATTTTTTTTTTGAAATGTATTATTTAAATAAATTATTATAAGTTAAATTTTTTATCATGAAATTTGATAATTAAATGGGATATTCATGGAAATTACTATTAAATAATAACTAACAGAATGAAAAATAAGACTTATATTCACTCAGCCTGCAAATTGTAATACTTTTTTTTATAGTTTTTAAACGCAAAAAGTTATTTATTAATACAGGATTAATACGATACATCGCATATCGATAATATTAATGATTAATTACAAATATATTAAAAAGTATAATATTTTTTAAATAAAATATTGTAAGTTAAATAATATAAACATATAAATACACGCTTAAGAAAATCTGCTACATAAGACATAAAAAAAACATATATTAATAAAATATATTTTTGAATGAAAATGTTATTGTGATAAAAAAATAATAAATTAATGACTATTCGAACAATGAACTAATAACTATTAATATTAATATTTATTTTTATTTCATTTATTATGATTCAATAAACAATTTTATCAAAAAAATACACGCAAAGAACAGATTTAATATCGATATTATTGATTCATTACAAGTATGTTAAACGATATAATATTTGTTTAATGGAAAATTTTAAATTAAATAATTAAAAAAATTGTGTATTATTTATAAAAAAAATCCTGAAGCATAATACATTACAAAAACATATAAATCACTGTTACGTCGCTTACTTGGTTTCACATTCGTGTCTTCAATGAGCCTTAGTACCTAAACATTTTGTCTTCGTACGATATACGATAATAATAAAAATGCAACACAAAAAGCTAAATAAACGGCGTAAATAGATACAACATAATAACTATGCGTAAGAGGTGTATGCGCGCATGTAATAGGTATGTTTTTTATTTAATGATGTGCCGCGTATTTTCGAACTTAGAAATTATTTTTAGAAGAGGACTACGAAACGAGATGCGATTTTAACATTATTAGTTTATCAGTTGTAATACTTTGTCCAACTCACATTTCGTAAGAGTGGGTCGTGTATGCAATGAAAATGATGTTAACATAGACAATATTATGGTATGTGAGTGCCGAGTGGTATTTTGTAAATTGGCGTTATAAATGGTCAATTCAATAAATCGATTCGTGAAACTAATTAGACATATAAAATATAAATAGGTATAATAACGTCAGTTGCAATCGATTGGTCAGAACTATAAATGTGAATGGGTAGAAACATACTATATCGACGTTACGCGTATCTATAATAATTACATGTTATGCGTGCTTTGTTTATAAATTAAGTGTAATTAATGGTATTAGATTATACAATTTATCTACTGATGAAAATAGTGAGAAAAAAATAATAATAAGTGAATATTTTTAAAGCATATTTGTATTATTAATCGCGCATAAGTGTGCATGCATATTCAGACTATTTAGTACTTTTTTAGTGCATTAATAGCATATCTTAAAATAGTCTTTAAGATATTAAATGATGATAAATGCATAAACATATCTTTTTAAGTTAATTTGTATATGTTAATATAACATTTAACTGATAACAAGTAATCTCTAATAACTTATACTGTACGGGTCGGTAGCGTAAATAAAATGAAAAAATAACTGGGTGTATGGTACTGGGTGAGTAGTGATGAAGCAGTTCGAACAGCAATAATCAGAGTTGCCGAACAGATAAATATAGTCGAATTACGTGATGTTAGTTGTGCAAAAATATGTTTAGTATACGAGTGTGTGAGTGAACTTAAAACTGTGAAAAAATTGTAAAAAAGGTTTGATAAGTACTACTCTGATACTATATATTTGACAATTAAATTATATAAAATACTAAATATAAATCACCGCAACCCGTACGATTTACGGGTATAAAAATGTATAATATAAATTCTACGGCACTTTCGACCTTACAGTTTAAAAAGTATAAAATAATAATAATTTATATAATTAATATTTATTCAATGTGTGGCTCCTAAGACTCAATAACATAAAAATTATAATAAATAGATTGCCTGTTTGGCATAACCAATGTACATTATTGTACCTATACAATAACGATAACAATAGTGTATTAAAAAATGATACCTATGATCAAACCAATAAATATAATTCAATTATTCGCAATATAATAAATTATACGCTTATTAAAACTGGTAAAAATACAATCTACGACCTGTCTGGCACAACAAGGTAAGTATTATTTAAAATGTAAAAAATGATAATATATAAAAAATAACTTACAATTTGTAGAGAGCAGACTGGCTAGCTGGTCCTAGCCCTAGCCCAAATAATAATACTAAAAAAAATAATAGCTTATGATTCACAATAATATAATGTGATAAAATAAAAAAAACGTGGTGATACGCGCACATATACGATGTATAAAATGTAACACACAATTTAAAATGAAAATATATAATATTATAATTTTTTAAAGATAAGAGACAATTTTCGTCCTCGCAATATCAAATCACAGCAAGTAAACATGAAGTTAAAATAAATAAATAAATTATGTTGACGATTTACTGACGCGACAACGGGTGAAAAATACAAAAATTGGCGGCGTGTTGCAATAATTATTATAATCGCGACAGGCACGGCAGCGATAACGACAACGATTCGCATTTAATCTACATAAACAGAGGCGTATTTACGATTTTGACGACCTAGGTACAAAAATATATTGACACCCTTAAAAAAAAATTAAAAGGATTTTTCTTCAGGAGAGCTGATCAATTTTTACACATCGGTGGTTTACCTAAAAAAAAAAAGTCATCAGATAATAAAAGCTTTTTAAATTTTTAGCGCAGCGCCCCTTTAAGAGACTTACAATTTATCACCCGGAGCGATTGTCCCCCTTCGCTCCCCTAAATACGCCTCTGTACGTAGGTATTATAATATAATTCTTAACACATATTTAAAAAATTACAAAAATAAAACAATGATTACCGATATGGATTAGGCGCGTAAAACCAGCTGTTCATATCGCGTATTTTATTTTAATAGTACAGTAGTCACCGCTTATTGGACTCACGGTTAATTGACTCATTCGCCTATTAGACTCAAAATAGATGGTCCCAATTCGCACATATACTAACACACAACAAAAAATTCGTCTATTTGACTCACACACCGGTTAATAGAGACATTTGAAAATTAGATAAATAAATAAAATATGTACACACATTGAACAAACGTGTTATAAATAAGTCGGTACCGGTATTATGCTTTTATCGCGGAGATAAAATAAATTACGATAAACCAAGCTGTCGTCAATGTCAATTAGTACGATAGGTAATGTATGAATAAACGATTTTTATTTTATTAATTATGTATGTATTTTTTTAATTTAATTTTATTTAACTATTTTATTTTTAGTTGCGTATAGCTAGATTTTTATTTTTATACATAAATACCTTGAATCTCAATACATATATTTAAGTAAATACGTTTTTAAATTTAAGCATTTTCAACATTTCTTGAGTCATTCGCCTTATTGACTCATTCGGTTAATCGACTCAAATTGTCGGATCCCAAAGTGAGTCCAATAAGCGGCGACTACTGTATTTTATAGTCTACAACACAGTGCTCGAGTCGCTCGAGGAAATCAAATTATTATGGACTATGGTGTATTGGGCGGTAAAATATGATACAACATTTTGTAAATATTTATTTACGTACATTTTCATTATAGTATGTCTGTATTTTTTTTATATAACTTAGAAGTGAGAAATTATTTCCAAAAAAATTGTCTACAGTTATTATTGATACTCTATCATTATAGTTGCCTGCAATGAATTATTTCCCATATCATTTTACTAGCACTTAGCATATCTAAAACAATATAAAATAATATGCTAACCAAATGTATTCACAAAGCTAAAATGAATATAAGCTGGCTGCGGGTAAACATTGTTCGATGTTGGTATTGATAGATATAGTAAGTATTTTAAGGCGCGGAAGTATTGCAAAAGCTGTTCCCGCGGCGTCATCGGTTTTAAAACATGAAAAAAAGAGAAAATAGTATTTATGCTACCTGTGGTGTTGACAGAATTGATAAATTAGCAGATCTTTGAGCCCATAATACACCCCCATGCCAACGTATAGGCGCATGCGTACACATGCACACAGCCCCAACAATCAGCCGTTATAAGAGTGATCACTGTTCAAATTTTCACATTCACGTGAAATCTTCCAGGCAGTCGTCTCATTCCGTTAATCGTTACGCAGAAGACTATTATTTACTGCAGCAGAACAAAAATAAAATGACATTCATCCGAGGATTGATGGTAATCACCGTCGTACTGCTTATCAATACGGCACTTTGCAAAGGTATTGTATGAAATGTCGAATTTATTAGTCTTGATTTATATTTTATTTTGTGCTATTTTACTCAAAGATTGAATAAATTTAAGTAGGTACCTTTAGATACATAAAATATTTTTTGTATTTTTAAGTATTCATTTGACATATTAATAATATGTTGATTAAAAAAAAAAACAAATTTCCTCGAAATTATTCTAGTTGTTACCGATGTGTTTTTCCGGTTTTTATACATGACTATCGGTATTCGGACCTTTGTTGAAACCCCGACAATAGTGCTATTATGACTTATGATTTAATTTTATACATGGATTTATATATGAATGGAAATTACTTAAGATAACACTGTTTAAAATTACATATACGAGCTTAATATTATTTAAATTTACCTCCTTAACTATTTTATTAATTTTAATTTTATTTTTGTTTTTTTTTTTTTTTTAAGATCACAGATGTCGTCGACCGGTAACCGAAAATTGCAATGCTTCAGAGTCTTATATTAATGACTGGGAAAATACCGGGTGGTTTTACGATCCTAGTTTGAGAGCATGCCTACCTTTGTACACACCGGAAGGCTGGCATAAATGCACCGAAAATTATGACCTACCTCAGAGCAGAGAAATATGTGAAGGATTATGCGGTAAGTTATGCAATTATTATTATGCGTGTGCTCGCGCGCGAGTGTGTGTGTGTGTGTGAGTGTATGCGCTCGTATGTGTGTGTGTATGTGCGTATTTACTCGTAAATTTACTTATCTTCTGTTTTATAATTTTATAGCTTATTTTTCTATTTATTATGAATCCATTCAAAGAAATGACTATTGATGATTATGAGTTATTGATTATGACACAATTATTGTTTGAACTGAATTTTAAAAAAAAATTAAAAATTCTCTTTTATGTATATAAAAAATGTTTACATCCATATTTTCGAAAATACTTAAAAATAAATAACTAAGCACAGTTAATACTAAACACATTACATACAATCTAAATAATTATACCTATGTAATTTAACTTTCCGTCTGATTATAATCAGTTTTCAATCACGCTTTATTTAATTAACACAAACTTTAGCTACGTAATAGTTGACAGTTAACTCTTATTCACCTTCACTGTATCTTACGTTCTTACCTAAGACTAAAAAACAGTCGCCTGTTCAAAAGTAAATTCGTAAAAATACACAATAAGTCATGTGAGCAATGTGTGGATAAATAGTATTTATTAATGCGTGTTTTATATCTATATGTTTAAAACCCATAAGAGTGCCTACGCATTAACGCAGCAGTATAACTTCAACATTTTCAAATCCTGGCTGAGGATCTATTGAAATAATTTACAAAATTCTGTACACTATCAATATTAATGTAGGTGATTTTTTTTTTTTTACAGCTGAACCATGTACTTTGATCAACGGTTCGATGGGTGTTTGCATGGCCAAAAGAATATGTAATGTCGAATTGTACAATACCATTATATTCTTAGATTCCTGCGGAAGTGGAAGTCTTAGATGCTGTCCTCATATACCCGACAGCAGATTGGAAAAATTCACCGCGCCGCCAAAAGACGGGGTAATTTTAAAAGTAAGACGCAGAACCCAGTCTCCGTCGCGCGAACAACCTGTATTTTACGTCTACGATATTCCAGTTGTAACGTTTGGGAGTAGCAAACGTTACAAATAATACCAGATCGTACTCTCACCAGGGGCGGATCTAAAGGGGGAGCGAAAGGGGCACTCCCTCCCAAATTAAAACAAAAAATAAAATATCATTGGGCCAAGCTTTTTTTTTTTTTTTTTTGTCTTCTATGCGGCCCCTTAGGAAAATGTCTCTTACTAATAGCATTGTACAAAAAAAAATTTTGTAATTCGTTATTACGATTTTTTTTTCTATAATTAATATGGTATACACTATACGTAGTTATATAATTTTATATCATTAATCATATTTTACATAAATAGGTGATTCAAAATTTAATTTACAATTATTTAATCATATAAATGTTCAACTTAGAGAAATATATACTGTGTAAAAGTTTTTTTAAATTTAAAAATAACTTAAATGATTTAAAAATGTTATAATTTTTTTAAATATTTTAGCAAAGTTTTGAGAGTTAACTTAAGGAATTCGAATAGGAATCTATACTTATTTGTAAACATAATTTGAAATAGATGGTTTAATAAATTTTAGTAGTTGAAGAACATTAAAGTTAATGTAAAATTCTATGCTTGAAAAAAATTTTAAGATTTGCATAAATTAATATTGTTGGATCACTAAAATGTACTTAAAAAGTATCTTCACATTCTGTCTACAAAATAATGTTTAGGTTCTCATTTTAATATTTTTAAATTGTTATCAAAAACTCCCTTAAAATATTTAAAAAAATTATTTTTATTATTTAAATCTACAAATTATTTTATTTTTTTCTAAATATATATATAAATATGATAAAAAAGCTTTAAAAAAAATTGTATTTCTCCCAGTACTCATTATAATATATTATGTTTAAGTGTAATGTCTCTTAAGCGTTTATGCATTTATATATGTATTTTTTTTTTTGTGTGATTAATTTACTATTTTGAATTATTAATAACAAAATATTTAACTTTTTAATGTATCGATCATCATTTATAACTACTGCTTTTAAACATATTATTTGGATGTATTTTTTTTTTTTTTTTTTGAAGTTGCATCATAATAAATTAAATAAATAAATAGTGGTCTTGTAGTTATTTTATTGCACTAGGTTATTATTTAATTATTAAAAAAAATATATTTGAAATAATTAAAGCATCCGGTAATTTTGTGGTCTAAACGACCTAACATAATATTGTAAGTATTGTTCTTGTAGTTGTATCAAAGAAAAATAATCTGATGAAAGTTATTTAAATATATATAAATTACATATACTTATGTTTTTAATATTTTTAATTTTATTAAAATCTATTTACAAAGACTTTATTTCTCTATAATTTAAAATAATACCTTAAACACAAGGTTAGAATTTAAATTAGTTTCTAATTTTAAATCTTATTATTAAATAGTTAATCTAGAGGTTCTATTTTGTTTTTATGTATGTAATTCAATGATGATAGTCGGTAATACTTTAGTGGTCTGGTAATAAAATCTTAGAATTAATTTTAAAACTACTTACCTGGATGATTGTTGTCTGAGCAATAATGTCAACAATATTTTAGTAGCATTTTTAAAATCAACATTGAAAATATAAATGTTTATCTAATTAATAAATTACTAAATAGATACAGAAAAAAATTTTATTTGTAGATAAAAATGATTAGCATGCAACTTAATATTTTCAAATTTAGGTACTAAGCAAAAATATGGGTTCTAGTACTTTTACAAAAAAATAGTGACATTTTAAAGAATTTAAATTAAAAAATATTATTATCATTTAAATAATGTTGCTATAACATAATTAATGTAATTTCAATAATACAATAATAGTGATTTCTTATGTTTAATATTTTAAAAATAATGATCAACGTTCCAGCGAACTCTTGACTTATGAGTAGGGACCGGATTTATATGCAAATGCATATATATATATTGAAATAAGATTTTTGGAATCTGATGAAAATTATTCCCGATTCAGATCATTCTTATTAAAATAATGCTTTTTATAGTTTGCATATTTTGCATATTTCAATGGATTTACTTATTATACGCATATTTAATGCATATTAGTAGTTTTAAAGTGCATATTATTATTTATAGCACAAATGTTTGTTTTTTGTTGAATTTTCACGTTCACAGCTACATAGTATCGATAGAAATATAAAATTACGACCAGTCGTTATTACTAGAGATACGATGACATACTCATATGCAAAATATATATTATAATAAATTAATATAGATCAATTGTTGTTTTATTTTTTTATTAATATAGGCTAATATTTTATAGATTGAATATAAAGAATGTTAAATGACGAAAATAACGAAATATTTTTTATACTCTAAAAACCTATTTGTATACCTTTTTAAATAATTAATTAATATTAATTTTTTACATAATTTTAAATATAATATTTTTGATTCAATTTTTAGTATATATTTAATATTATATATGCATATTTTATAGCATATTACAGCATTTTTAGAAGCATATTTTGAGGATCTTTTGTGCCTATAAATCCCGGTCCTTCATAAGTTATGAGTTATGACTTATGAGTGAATAGTAATTAGTTCGTAAAGTTCATTCATTTTCTGCCAGTAGTAGATTTTGGTACTCGTAGAACCATATGTGAACTCACCGATTTTGCGCTTCGTACTCGTGTTTATAAACGAGGTTCCGTCTCTCATGTCGGTACCTAATGCTGCGATGACATCATTGACATCTAATATTCTAATGCAAACGTCGTCGCTGGCGGTGGTTGTAATGCCTTAACTCTTAAGGTTTATCCCTTTAGATTCTGCTGGTATAACCACCTAGTTTGCATAAGTAATCTAACATAAATGCTTCCAACTTATCAAGATATTTGAATTGTTACTTGTGTAAGAAACCTTATTAAATAAAAATAAATATTATCAAATACAAGTAGGATCATTAAAAATGTATTAATGGGACAAGTTAGCACGTGTTTTACCTTATTGTAAGTTGTAACCGATGCATGTGGTCGGCAGTATTGTTTAATAGCTCCAGTCAGCACTTTAGTTGCTGAAGTCGATAGAAGATTAGTAGCTGTATTTTACGCCTTATCCGACGTCTAACCATACAACTTATACTTTAAAAGTACAATTTTATAATCAGGAAAAAACCAAATAAAAAAATTAAGGGATAACAGGCATTTTTACGTAAATCTAATGTTAGAAAAAACAGATTTTGTTTTTTTAGAGTATCTAGAAAACGAATAACTTGAAAGATAATTGAAATTTTCACCTTATGTTTGTATTATCATTTTCTATTAACAATACAATTTTCACAATGTTTCGAATATTTTTTATTGATAGGCATCACAGATTTTCATTTTCTTTTAGTTTTTGTTAACACTTTCAACGTCGCCCGTGATTTTGGCAGTTATACCGCGACGCC